ACTCGCTAACTTAAAGGGCGAAAGATCCGGCGACGAGTCGGCCGGACCGTCCCGGCGACCCCGCGACGACGCTCGCCCCTTCCCCCGGCGACCAGTTGTCGACCATTAAGGCGCGCCGGAAAGTTTCAGTAGGCACGCGGTGATTTCCCAAGCTTAACGAGGCCGGGACAGGGTCGCCGGCAGTTCCGCGAGGGAAATTCCGCGGATTTCACTGGCCGCCGCCTCGCGAAATTACGCTCGCACCCTCTTTGAGAAACTTTTATGCCCGGCACGTGCCCTTCCGGGGGAGGCCGCCGCCCCGACACATCTTTCTCACCTATCCCCCCGTGGCACGCGACCCCGCGGACAACCGGACGGATGGGGAATTCGCGCGGAATTCCAGGCACGGCGTCCGGATTCCTTTTTTTACGGAGCCGTCTCACAGGAAACGGAATCTTTTTGCAGGTGTTGCAGCTGCTGGTGCTGCAGGGATCCTTGGCCGTCCTTGTCGCCGGGAAATCCGGTAAGTCTGCCGGTCCCTCTCGTCCCCCGTTCCCTCTCCCACGGGATAATCGCGCTTCGCGTAAGCTACTTAGGGACCGGACATTGCCTGGGACACTCGGATGCCTTCGGATCCGGAGCGGGGGGCTAATGCTCTTCGACGATTCGCGTTATTTGTCTCGGAGCCGGTTGCGTTCGCCGAGCTTTCTTAAATTCCGGCCCGACGATCGATGTTCGCGGGTCCCGCGAACGCCTCGTATCGACCGGGAAACGTCGCTCGGCCTTTATCCTTCCCGTTCGCGTTCGAGATGCTTCTAATCGAGTGTGACTTCGGTCGATGCGACTGCGAAAGAATCCACGAGGCGAGGGGTTAATTGTCGAAGTTCCGAGTGTTACGGTAATTGGGAAGGAATTTGAATGGGCGATCGACTAAGCCCTCGAAAGACAGCGGACTGCGCCCGGTGAGCCGTGATTCGGCGCGATTCGCTGCCGAGTGCGCCGGGAATAATGAGAATCTCGAAGGAACGTTGAGCTTCGCTCTTGTTAATAGCGATCGTTCCCCGCGTTTCCGGGTTTCTTATTCGTTTATTCATTCCCGCGCGGCGAGCTTGGAAAAACCGTTGCTCGGGATACGGATATTCGGCGCGCGATGGGAATTAGTGACGCGAACTGCGCAGCGCGAGATTAATTAAGCGTAATTTTTGCGTGCATCCGAGTCGGGCCACCGGCGCGTGAACGAGGAAGAAAATTCATAAATTCGATTACCAGGAGGCAGCGTAATTTCATCGCCGTCCGCGGAGCGATACTCTTATCTGTCTTGCTGCCGTAACCCTGAGGCTCGCGGTTTCCGGTTTGCCGCGCTGTTCTTTCCTGCGCGAGATTAATATTGCTCCTAAATCTATTTCTCGCCGTCCCGTATCGTTGACAGTCGCTCGAGAATCAACTATCGAAGACAGATCGGTACAATCTTATCGTTAAAGACAAGCGAGATATTCGAAGCGTCTCGCTTCTAATCGAAGGAACATGACAAGGAGAAACGGCGGAACAATGAGAGAAACGCGGGACAGCGAAGAATAACTTCCAGCGCGACGCGTCGAGTCGGTTTCTTTGCTCTCCCGTCTTTTTAAGTGTCGAAGTTGCTCGAAACGGGGACCGACAGTCTCATCGACGTCAATTTAGCCGGTCAATGCTGTAATTGCGTCCTCCCCCCATTTTTCTTCGATCTCGAAACGCGTTCACCCCCGTCCCCCGCTGGTCCGCGCGTCCCGCCCGCTTCCTCTTTCAATTTGTCCGGCCCGATCGAGCCGTGTGCTCGGCTCGGTTTCATCGGAATCGCCGTTTTTCCCCCGCCGTCGCAGTACCGCGGGTGATCGACAAAGACTTCGACCGATACGATCCCGGCGAGGTGGAGGATCATGACAGGCTGACCGTTCCATTCAATCTGGAGGAAACTTACGACCAAAGTTTCCGGGCGAGCGGCTTCAACGGTACCTGGCGGACGGACACAGACATCCTTTATACCGATAACTACTCCGGCGACCTACGTATGTTCGACGTAACGTCGGGGATCAGCAGAATCTTCCTGGACTCGTCGATACTGGTGAGTCGCAGCCAACTGATTTCCCTTTTTCTACTGTTCGCCGAGGATGCAGCGCCGATCGGGACCGAATTTTAGGTAGATAAGGGAAACGTCCGCGGATAAATAGCCGATCGATTTCTTTGATCTTCGGGAGATTGCGATTGCAAGGTCGCGATGGATTTTATGCGTCGCTAAATCGAGTACTTCTTGGGACACGAAACGTAGTGGCCGGTTTGTTTTTCTGCTGTTTCGATGTTCGCCGAGGGCGCATCGATGGGAACCGAATTGTGGAAAGATAAGGGGAAATTTGTGGATGGTAAATGGCGGATCGGTTTCTTTGATCTTTGGAAATTGCGATTGCCAGGGGGAATGCGATGGATTTTGTTACGATGTTTGGTGGTATAATTTAGTTGTCCGTTTAGTTTTCTACTACTTCGCTGTTCGACGAGAATGCAGCATCGATGGGGACCGAATTGTGGAAAGATAACGGACAATCTGAGGAGAGTAAATAGCGAATCGGTTTCTCTGGCCTTCAAGTCGCAATTCTCACGTTTAAATTGGTCAGTTTGTTACTGCGATTAGCAAGTGTTAGTATACGTTAGGATACATTTTAGGCTGAATGAGTCAGTCACTTTTATAACTGATTAACGTTTCGTCTGTACTGAATTTATGTAATGGCACGTACGTTTCGATAATGACTTACTTTAGGAGTTGCTCAATGAACTGTGCAGTTCACACGATTAACCTGGACGGCGAGATTCAAATTTTTCTGAAGAGAGTTCACGTGACAATGAACGTGTATCTTAATTCAAACAATAGTATCCTGCGTTCCATCGAAGTTATAAATAAAATGTTATCGAAGATGTTCCGAACGGATGATTGAACTTTATATTAACCTGCAGTTGCCACTTGATTCAGCATATACAAAATTATAGAATTTAATATTTAATATTAACCCTTTGAACTCTGCAGGCTCTAATATTACACCAGTTATAATATTAAATATTTTAATGAATCTTAAAGAAACTACCCTAAAATTATTCGATTTTCCACACATCCGAATTTTGTACTAACAAAGAAAATAAAAGAAGAAATGTTATAGCATTTATAATTTTCGCTAGGAATACTATAAAAATTAGTTGCTGATAGATTACAAAGCAACCTCGAGTGCTAAGGGTTAAGTTTCGCATAATGCACAATATGTGGAATATCGAATAAAAAAACTGTGCTTATTCTATGCACACTGTCCCGTTGCTTTCAAAACATGTCTATTTATCGGAAAATGTTGAATATCTCTAGTGAAATACTTTTCGAGCGCAAAGGGTTAAACACGATGCAGCTCGTTCGATGTTTAATCTCGAGAGAGACAGGTCGAAATATTCAGTTACCCTTTCTCTTTCCACTAACCGGCGCGTAACAAATATCGAGAGCTTGTTTAATTAGTCGCATGGAAATTCTCTGTACCGTCCGGCTCCTCGACGGTGAATTACACGGTCCACTTTCGGGCGCGAACCGGCAAACGATATTGATTCAAGAGGCGCGTTACTCTCCGTTTAATTTTCCCAGGCCACGAATCGTTCGCGTCTTGTCGGGCAACGTTACACCGGCACGCGGGATATATCGACTGAAATCACATCGATTATTATCAGAAATAATTTCAATACCGTGCACCGCAGTTGCGTTATTTCTCGGTCAACGAATCGTTTGCCCGGGCTAAATATTCAATGCAAATACGGTTTCGGTAATTGTGCAGCGTGTTCGTCGTCGTTAACGTTCCAATTTTTTCATTTAATCAATGGATTTATCCGACACCATGAAATTCGGTTTGCATTCTCGAAACGGTGGTGGAAAAATGGACATACTTATGATCGAGACCGTCGACGAATTAATATTGCGTTATCGATCGACGCTCTCTACGATTTATCGCGTCGATAAGCTTACAATAACCAGATACCAAATTTGTTTAGTCAACGCTCGGGATCATTTAGACGTCGATCCGAGTGTTATGCTTTGGTATTCACGGTGTGATATCACCGACCGTCTATAAATCTTCGTTATCAAACTTCGTTCGTCTCTAAATCGATCGAAGTAACGCACGGAAAAGGTCTGCGCGATCTAAACATTCAATATTTGATTTTCAGAGCGGATATAACAAGCCGTTAATGAGCTTCTCCCACGACAGCTCGTACATTCTCATCAGCTATGAGTTCATACCTGTAAGTGTTAACAGTAACTATACTTTCTTCTCTATAGTCGTCCCAATGTGTCAACAATCGATCACTTTAAACGTCTTGAACAAACGATGGAAATTTCGGAACTGAACAATTAATGCTTTACTCATCTTCTCGTTGACTCCAAGTGCTAATTACTCGAATATGAAATATCTCAATTTTATATATTAACATTAGATTTAAGGAACCCGTCGATTTGACGGATATTGAATGTTTCAATTATTTAGTAACAGTTTCTGTCAATTTTCATTCGTGCAATTATGGGAACATGCATTGATACTCTGGTTTTGAAGTTACAATTTTCACGATTTATATAGAGGTAGATTTCTAGGGACAATAAAATAAAATGTAGATTGAACGTGCGTAAATCTAGCGTTTCAAACATTAGTAACAGTTTGTCAATTTTCATTCGTGCGATTATGGGAACATGCATTGATACTCTGGTTTTGAAGTTACAATTTTCGCGATTTATATAGACGTAGTTTTCTAGGGACAATAAAATAAAATGTAGATTGAACGTGCGTAAATCTAGTGTTTCAAACACTGTTTAGTAACAGTTTGTCAATTTTCATTCGTGCAATTATGGGAACATGCATTGATACTCTGGTTTTGAAGTTACAATTTTCGCGATTTATATAGAGGTAGATTTCTAGGGACAATAAAATAAAGTGTAGGACGTCCGTAAATCTAGCGTTAAACTTGGAGTTCAACTGAGTCTTCTGATAAACGACCTAGTACAGACCTAGCTATCAATTAATGAGAATCTTTACTCGAGTAGTATCTTCTCGCGGAGACAGAGAAAGTTCCGAAGAAATGATTTCCACGAATTTTCCAGGGCTTTAGGTACTCGATGCACCAGAAGTTCGACGTGTACAGCATGGAAAGCAAGTGAGTATTCCTGCGTTGTTTCCGCGTAGCAGCCGATAACTTTAACGATCCGCCGATAAACCGAATTACGAGACGATCCGGTGATTCTGTCGCAATAATGATAAAGTTCGCGTTCGTCCCTCTGTTTTCCATTACGCGCGTCAAGATCCGCGAGGTACAAAGTGCACGAGATCGTCGCGATAACGTCAGTCGCGATCGTATCGATTTGTTTCGTGCCGCTGCGCCGCGCGATGTGGTCTGTGGACAAAATCCTGAAATTCGACTATTGGTATAACGAAAATTGAAGGTTAGCAATGTGCTGTTAAGTAGTCCTTGCTATACAAAATGATTTTCATTTAAGAAACAACAATTTCGTGCAAAACAATTCCGTTTTTCTATTCGTATAACCTTGGAATCGAACCGCAAAGTATCCATTATCATTGGAAAAACTTTATAATATCCTTATAATGTGAACAAAAATGTAACCACCATATGCTTAGCTCTATACCTTACAACTTTTGTCTCAACCATTTGTTTATATCATTCATACTTTTCAATTTATCGAGTTCTGTTCGGAGAATGAATATTTGGCGCTGTGAATTATTAAAAAGGTTACAGCTGTTTCCCCGAGAAATTGTTAAAGAAATTGATTTAGCAATACGCAAACTGAATTGTTAATCAGTTAAAACCTTGATAGATGCAGTCTTGGAGTTTCCACAGAGAAATTTCAAAAAGTTAACTTATATTTTCGTGCGCCGCACCGGTTCGTTCCGATTCCGTTGCAATCACGCTGAATCCTTTCCCGCAGGAGCTACACGAACCTCGCGGGCGGAAAACATCTGACGTTGGCGAAATGGTCGCCCACCAAGAACGCGTTGGTTTACGTTTTGGAGAATGACATTTATTACCAGGAGTTCACCGATAGCGGCCACAACGTTCGACGATTGACGCACACAGGCGAGCCGAACGCTGTTTTCAACGGCGTGCCTGATTGGGTTTACGAAGGTACGAATATTATTAACACATTGATGTAGCAAAATCCACGAAATTCAACAAATGTAATACATTATAATTGCGATTATTCATCATTTAATTGATGGAATTATAATAATTTTGTCGGGAAACACCAGCGATTCCCTTGGCATTTAAATTAATTTCAGAATTTAATGGCTCGAGGAAAGAAGAATATTCAATGTAAGAGATTTTTCCGTTAAAAATATTGAACACGTCGATCTTGAACTTTGTGGATTGATTAATCTACATTTGCAGATCGCGTGGAATTTCTTTGTAAGTAGAAATGTTTCTTCAGTTCGAAGTTATAGAAATCCAACGCGTATTATAGTATTGATTTTGTCTGCGCGAGATGTTTTATAAGAAACGATCATTAACGTTTTAGAGATTTGTTCAAAGTGAACAGTAGTGTAGATTCTATGCAATCGCGTCACAGTTATTTGGATAGGATTTCAATTGTACCTTCGATTCCTCCGATCTTCCAACGGAATCGCGAGAAGTGCTTAGTTTTCTCCCGCGTTCGACGAAGAACGCGCGATTAATCGAGAATACGATCGTGATCTATGCACGTAACAATGCTCGCAGAGGAAGTGCTCGCCTCGCCGGTGGCCCTCTGGTTTTCGCCCGACGGACGTCACCTCGCTTTCGCGACCTACAACGACACCGGGGTGAAAGATATCGCGATCCTGTATTATGGGAAGCCGGGCAGCATGGAGGATCAATATCCTACGGAAGAGAAGATCAAGTACCCGAAGGTGAGATTAATAAATCATCGGACGAGACACCGACCTCTCTATTATCTATTTCTATTGCACCGCATTCCTCCTAATGAATATTTCCGAAATTTATTGCCTGGACAATGAAACTATTAGTGAAAGTTTTTCTGAAAAACGTAAACATCGATGCGAAACTGAAACAAACTACCTAAGTTATTAACCCTTTGAACTCTGTAGGCTCCAATATTGCACCAGTTGTAATATTAAATGTTTCAATGAATCTCAAAGAAACTACCCTGAAATTATTCGATTTTCCACTCATCCGAATTTCGTACCAACAAGGAAAACAAAAGATCGAAGAAATCTTATCACATTCCTAATTTTTACTAAGAATACTATAAAAATTAGTTGCTGATAGATGACAAAACCTGGAGTGCTAAGGGTTAACACTGTTTAGTTTGCAAATATTTCAACTATGACAACTCTCGCGAAAAATCGTGAAATAAATATTTATATATATATTTATACAGTTACAACAATAAGGAACCGATCAGATCTTAAGAAACATATTGTCCAAATTTTTACAAAAACTTAGTCACTGCAATTGCTCGGTAGTTTGCGTTCAGTTTTGCCTAGAAAACGGACGTTCGGTACTATGCGGCGGTTCCTAAATATCCGTAAAACGTAATTCTCTGGTTTTTCTCAAAGAAACACAAAGGGGATGAATTCTTTGGTCGAAAAATCGGCTGAATCGGGTAATGGTTCCTCGCCTTTAGTCAATTTGCTGGTGGATAGAGACATTCGTCGCCGGTGCGGCACAGATTAGGAAGCCCGGGACGGCCGGCCGGCCTCATTGCCGGCTTTAAAAGGGGATGAAAGGGTTACCTCGCGTTTAACCCCTCGGTTTTTCTCGCCGCGCGAGCTTTACTCTCGGCTTGTATCCATGGCCGATGAACGTTAAAGAAAATTAACACCGTTCCGCCGGCGATCGCCGAGATTTTCGACCGAGGTTACATCTCTTTGGTTTCTCCCTTGATCCTTTCTCACGTGGAGGCAACGAACGTGCTCGAATCAGTTACGGTGGCTTTTCAGGCGGGCAGTCCAAATCCAATTGTAACCCTAAGCGTCGTTGATTTGGCTAATCCGAACTCCAAATTGGTTAATCTCCAGCCACCCACTGACATCGTTGGCGTGTAAGTATCCCCAAAGCCTTCTCTGTCGTCATTACAGCTGTCGCGCCGGATTAGCATGATTTCCAACAAACAGACCGGCCATCGCTAGACACCGTGTAACACCGGTGACTTCATTTCCTACAGTTGATAGCCTTATCTTCGGCGGGGATTAACTGTGACAAGTATCGCTAACGTGGAAGTTTATAGTTCACATTGGTATACTCTCTACGATCGCTTTGTATTTTATAATGGACGCGTTATCTGTAGCAAGCTTGCAATATGGATCATTCTTAATCTATTCGATCGTTAACCTTTGCGGACGAATGTCGACGCTGTCGAGATCAAACTTTCATGTTTGGAACACCGAGTTGCAAACGAGTGATTTAATTATTCAAACAGCGAGAGATCAATACATAGTTCCCTTATTCTCTGCTATTTAAGCATTCAATATTTAATTTAGAATTCTCGAGTTTTGTATACTATAAACGATCATCGTCCGCAAAAGGTAATTCTCATCGTAGTCTATTCTAAACAACGTTCTTATTTCCAGAATCTACTTGTCTTTATGTTACTGTCATCGTTAGATGCAAATCAGCGATGTTCGTTCTGCTAACACTGTTACATTCATTTAATCATCCTCTATGTAATCACCTGTAATTTCCCAAGAACTCACTCGCATGTAACAAACACAGGAAGAAACTATGCTCCTGTTTACACTGACATTTAGAGCACATAGGCGTTTTGCTGACAGTTACATTCATTTAATCATTCTCTATGTAATCACCTGTAATTATCCAAGAATCCTCTCGAATGTAACGAAAACAGGAAGAAACTATGCTCCTGTTTACACTGACATTTCGAGCACATAGGCGTTTTGCTAACACTGTTACTTAATTTAATATTATTTAATCATCCTCTATGTAATCACCTGTAATTATCCAAGAATCCCCTAGAATCTAATGAAAACAGGAAGAAATCGTTATATGATGCTGTTTTCCATTGACATTTCGAGCACATAGGAGTTTTGCTAACACTATTACATTCATTTGACCAGTTAACTGTGTTTGACGAGTATACACGTCATCGTAAAGCTTGACATGATACGAATTTTTTCATGAATTCTTTATTTTTTCACGTAAACATGTAATTCTTCTTTGTTTCGCTTTGATCTTCCATTAAAATATACTCTGTGTGCATTCGTCCTGCGTTCGACGAGTACACGCTCCATTTTACTAATTTATTGCGAGCAGAACCAGAGGTTTTCTAATTAAATTCCACAGTTAACTGGTTAATCATTCTCTATGTAATCACGTGCAATTCTCCAAGAATCTCCTAGAATCTAACGAAAACAGGAAGAAATCGTTATATGGTGCTGTTTTTCACTGACATTTCGAGCACATAGACGTTTTGCTAACACTGTTACTTTTATTTAATCATCCCTTATGTAATCACCTGTAATTATCCAAGAATCCCCTAGAATGTAACGAAAACAGGAAGAAATCGTTACATGGTGCTGTTTTCCACTGACATTTCGAGCACATAAGCTAGCCGAGAACAGCATCAGAGTTAAAAGCAACAAGATCTCATCGAAGCGTCGTTTCCGGCAGTGACAACGTCCTGTACACGGTGAATTGGTGGGACAGCAGCGTGGTGGCGACCTGGACGAACCGCGTGCAGAACAGAGCCCAGCTGGTGCGTTACGACGTCGCTGGCAACGCGGACAACATGCTCCTGCAAAGGGAAGACGAAGGTTGGCTGCGTATACAGCCGCCGGTTTACCATAATCAATACGCGGTCGTTTTGAAGCTGCAGAACACAGGGACATCAGCAGGACGATTCGTCCACGCGACCAGATACGAGTACAAGCTCGGCCGACTGATCAGGGAGAAGGATTTAACTCCCGGCAGCTACGAAGTGATCAGCATAGTTTCCCTGGATCACGAGAGGGAGATTCTCTATTTCATTGCGACCGGGATTGATCAACCCCAGCAGAGGAACTTGTACTCTGTGCCTCTGGACGGCAGCGATCTACCCGAGTGTGTCTCTTGCAACGTTGTCTCGCCTGAAGGTTAATATCCTCAACACTGACCGACGCCTTCCTTTTGCAATTAGAAAGATAACAGATGTTTCTCTGAATTCGAGAAATTCATTCAGCAATAGCAAACTGAATTGAAAATCAATTGAAGTGTCAGTAGATGTAATCTCGGGGTTGCTACAGAGAAATTTCAGATAATTTAACTAGTTTTAGTGTTAATTGGTTAAAGGATTGAGAAACTTAATGTTTCGGCTGAGATTATTATATGAAATATTCAGAAGTGATTTGTGACCTAGAAACGAAATCATTTGGTAAAGAATATTTATTTTGGAATTGATAGAAATCAGAGAATATCAGGAAATTGATTTAATCATTGGCTTCTGAGCGATTCAGTTGATTCTAGAACGATCTTTATATTATGAGATATTGATATTTATATTATGAGATATTGATAATACTGTTTAGATATTTCTTTGAATTTATTTAGTTCGATATAATCGATTGAGAACGCAAGTTAGGGATGAATAGGTGGGAGGTTATACGAAGTTTTTCGAATTCGTGTTGGGGGATGATCGATTGAATGACTATGCGAAAGCATTGATGATATTGTTCACAGGAAACACGTGCACCTACGTTCATGCTTCCTTCTCCAGCGATAATTCGTACTACGTGATAGCTTGCGCGGGACCTGATCCCATGTTCGTGAGGATCTTCGATGTTTATCACACGCCGCTTTACTCGTGGGAGGAGAATCAAGCTCTGAGACGAAAATTGGCTACTCGGAGCCATCCGCGCATCTATAATCTTGATGTTAAGGTGAACGGGTACAAGAGCAAAGTTAGGCTATACCTGCCGCCCGATTTCGATGACAGGAAGAAGTATCCTCTGCTGATCAATGTGTAAGTTACCGTTAATTAATTAAACGTAACGATCGTATTAAGTGTGAAACGAACAAATATATTGTAAGAGAGAACATTGAGATAGGTATACAATTTTTGAATTAGCAGAAACTTTCTAAATATTGCATACTTTATTCAGCAGTTTAATGCACTGCAATGGTTATTGCAAATATTCAATAGCAACTAGTTATTATTCATGCAACGTCGGAATGTCAATGAATCCGATTCGTTCGTCACGTCACCAAGATTGCTTAAGTTTTAGTATTCTGTTATTATTCTATTTTATATTTTTGTATTTTATTTTATATTCTATATTCTTATATTTTATATTCTATATTTTTATATTTTATTTTATATTCTATATTTTCATATTTAGTTTATATTCTATATTTTTATATTTTATATTCTATATTTTTATATTTTACTTTATATTCTATATTTTCATATTTTATTTTATATTCTATATTTTCATATTTTATTTTATATTCTATATTTTTATATTTTATTTTATATTCTATATGTATTATAAATTCTATTATTCAATTATTCCTTAAATAGTGACGCGTAAACGGTGATGTCACGAATTCGGGTGACGTGGCAAAGTGTTAATCGCCGAGATAATTAAATCCCCGTTCAGAATGCGGATATCCGAAGTGCCACTGTCCAAACACGTACTCGGTGATCCTCACCTTTTAACGTCGTCCATTTTACACACCATTCTTTATGTTCCACGACATTCCTGCAGGTATTCCGGGCCGAACACCGTAAGAATCACGGACTCGAACACGCACGGCTTCGAGTCTTACATGGCAACCAACAGGAGTGTCATTTATGGGCACATCGACGGCCGCGGGTCCGCCTTTAAGGGCAGCAAGATGCTATTCGAGATATATCGACGTATCGGGACCGTGGAAATCGAGGACCAGATAGCTGTCACGCGGTAAGTAGCCAATGTTTCTTGCCAGGCAGTTCGGTCACGGTGGTTCGTCCGTTTCTGGGAGGACGAAGGTCACCCCATTTCGCCGATGTTGCTTCAGGTGGAGTTGAAGCGCGGCGTACTTGCCTCGACTTAAGTTTCGCGGTTGCGGGACGGGCAACAAACTACGAAAATGGTTTAGATAATAATTCTCTTGCTCAATGCGATGGAAGTTGGAGAACTATAATTCGCACAGATGTTTTTGCGATGAGAAAATAATACATCCTGTGGTTGTCCCTTCAATTCTTCTGTTAACACTAGAACTATATACAATTCGCACAGATATTTTTGCGATGAGAAAATAATTGAATACATTCTGTGTTTGTCCTTTCAATTTTTCTGGTAACACTAGAACTATATATAATTCGCATAGATACTTTTGTGATGAGAAAATAATTGAATACATTCTGTGTTTGTCCTTTCAATTTTTCTGTTAACACTAGAATTATATATAATTCGCACAGATGTTTTTGCGATGAGAAAATAATTGAATACATCCTGTGTTTGTCCTTTCAATTTTTCTGTTAACACTAGAACTATCGTACCAATGAAAATGATTTCGACTTGCTTCGTAGTTATTGATATCTCAAAAGCATTGGATATTCGAAATGATTTTGAAAATAGTTTCACTTGAATGCTATGATGAATTTGAAGAAACCGATCTATTGTTACGATTTTTATAGGGTCATTAATCGTATTAAATAAGGTAGTCCTAGTGTTAAACATTGATCCCAAATGATCTCTAGTTTTATTATTATTTTTGACATTCCTTCACTCGATATTATTCAGATTTCTGATTACTTCATTCTTCTCGGTGCTCAGGTATCTGCAAAAACTCTATCCTTGGATAGACGCGAACAGAACCGCGATATGGGGCTGGAGCTACGGCGGATTCGCGACGGCGATGGCGTTGGCCACTGACAAAGACTCCGTGTTCAAGTGTGGAATATCGGTCGCACCTGTTACGTCCTGGATCTATTATGGTAATTCGATATTGCTCATGACACTTACAACTGTCGTTCGTTCTGTAGCCCATGTTCAAATGTGACACAGAGTAGCTTAAAGATTCAGTACACTTCCTCATCCTATCCTAAATCCCAACAATACATAACCTGCACACACATTTAAATTAGTAAAACTAAGTCCATCCATAACCTGCAATTTTAACTAAAACTACCAGACAGTTTATAACCTACTCGTGATGTCTTCTTTTCCAATTATTAACACGTTGAATGCCGCACCATTTTAAGGTGCAGAATATGCGAAATGGAAAAAGTACAATATTAAATGATTTCATTGAATTGCGTCGTGATTATCGCAGGTTTGCTTTGCTGAATGTCAACGCATTAAGTAGCGTTATTTACAGTATAGGAATGTTTTCATATTTCAGAATTACAGTGACTGAATTTGAGCGGGGCTCATCGGTGACTCCATGGCATTCAACGTGTTAAAAAGATAACAAACGTTTCTTCGAGAAACGATCAAAGAAACTGATTCAGCATTACGCGAATTGAATCGTAAATCAATTAACCCCCGTACAATGATGAGTGAGACTATTTCGCTATTATCAATGTATTATCTTCAAATGAAACTTCCGCTCGAAGCACAATGGAAAATTTTGCTACTTTTCTTCCAAATTGCCGATAGTAAAATGTCCCACGAGCTTCTACCGAAAATAAATAGTCCGCCAAAGGGTTAAAGTCTCAACAGTGGCACACATCGAATTCCCACAGAGAAACGTCAAAAGCTCACTGTAATCGCTCGGTAGTTTGCGTCGAAATCATTTATTCCATCCGCTCGTTTCCCCGTCGTCGGCGCTGTTATCAAAGTCTCCCGGCTCCGGTGTAAATACACCCTAAGCTAGAGCAGCTCGCAGCCACCTTAACTTCGCCGAGTAACTTTCCGAAATTCCCCGGCAGCGCAGCGCACATACATACTTCATTCTTTATTCTCGACCGTTCCCCTTGTGCCGTAGACTCCATTTACACGGAGAGGTTCATGGGTCTGCCAACGGCGGACGACAACCTGGGAGGCTACAACCGCACAGACGTGACCAGAAGGGTGGAAGGCATTCGCGGCAAAAAGTACATGCTGATACACGGCACCGGCGACGACAACGTCCACTACCAGCAAGCCATGGCGCTGAACAGGGCGCTGGTGGAGCGGGACATCATGTTCCAGCAACAGACCTACACGGACGAGGCGCACGGCCTGACCGGTGTATCTCCGCACCTTTACCACACCATGGACCGATTTTGGGGTGATTGCCTGGGATACTCGCGCGCTCACTGACCCGGATCGCCTCTGGATTAGCGGACGGGAACGATTCGGAGGGTTGGACCTGTCCCTTGGAACCGTTCCCTGTAATACCGTGGGCGTCGCTCGATCGCCGACCGGTTAATCCGGACATTCGCAGTTCCCGGACTACGTTTCCTCCTTTCTCGAAGGACCTCGTCGCGACACGGACGTTTACACACGTTACGCGTGGATCTATGTAGATCCGTTTCATCGTACGTTGGAAAAGGGTTGAGCGCGAGGATGATTAACGCGAAAACTAGCGGATGGATCAACGCGGTGTGTTCGTTTTGAAATGATTGAAGATAGATGCTTCCGAGAAAATAATTTGTTTGGCGCGAAGTGAATTGGAAATTAAGGAGAGTTTTATTCTTGGGGTTTTCATAGAGGAATTTCGGAAAGGAAATTTAACTCGGTTTTAGTGTATAGTAGGAAGGTTCTGATGAACGTGGGTTGAACAGATGTTTTTATTTTTATGAATGAAGTTTTGTATAATCTGTTCTCGTAATAATTGTTGGTAACTAGCGAATGGATGAAGTCAGTTTTGGAACTGGAAATACTCGTTTTTCGACCGATGTCCGTTAGAACGCTTTTCTCTCGTTTGCTTTGTCCTTTGAAGCCCTTTTTCAAACCTGTACACAGTGGAGGAATCAATGATTCCTCTCGAAGGCCAGCCCTCCGATCGAAGAATTTCGTCGGAAGTGGATTCGATGAAGAAACATATCGGCGGTTCTTGTTTTACATTACGTACGTGCCCGATGTTCCAAAGCGGAGTGAATTTTTTAAAGGCAGACTCGCCTGGGAATCGGTCGATATTTGAGGATGGATTCCGCGACAGTCTGCCGAGGAGAGCGCGAAGAACCGCGCGGGCTCTCGATTGTTCCTTTCGCAAAGTGTTCAGGTAAACGGAAAGTAGACTGCCAAGAATCTAATTAAACACTGCTATTCTTGGAGAATACACCGCTGCGGATAGTTAAAATTGTACCAGCATACTCTGGACCAACGGTTTGCGTGTATCTCAACAGAGAACGTTGTCCATTCCTTTGGAAATAAATTTCTATACCGACTGTTTAAATCCTCGAACTTCATTAACGGTCCATTAAACTTCCCGCGAGCTTAATCATTAACGGTACAGAACCCAAAATCCAATTTTCCAAGTGGATCGGAGGAAACTCTGGCATCGACGAGCGAAAAGAGGATTCCGCGATCGTACGTTCGACGCGTCCTCGCGATATTTCCCTCGTATTTCATTTCCGCCTCCTCTTTTTTCGCCGGCGCAAGTTGAATAAATGTCGAGGCGGGAGTATACATATTTCGCGCTCCATTCCGCGTGTAAATAGAGCCGGCCACCGGACGCGAAAGTTATTTCCTATTTAGTTTTTCGTTCCCGATAAAGTCGAGCACCGCGGGGTATCGAGTTTATGATCGCTCGCCGGCGATTCGCGGAATAATCACACGGCCGAGCGAGCCGGGGAAGTCGCGGAGGAAAATATTCTCGGGACAAGAGGGATCGTCGTCTCATCTTGGGGAAGAGGGGGCGACAGAGAAGTAAAAATGGCGGGCAGAACGACCGCGCCGCTGTTATCGAATCGATTGCGCCCCGAAGCCGGCCCATGAATTAATCGTCGTCTCGCACGAGCATCTCGGCGGGATTTGTTGTTCCTCGTACGAATTTCAGGGACGATGCGCTTCTCGACTGACCGACCTAAAATACTTTTCACCCTGCC